GCCATGCCCGTGATCAACTTTCACTAGCCATTCCGATGGACGAAATTCTATCCTAATATGAAGCCCAGCATCTTACCGACGTGGTCACTATCAAAGAAGGCTTGCTAATAAAGATTGCCATTCCACTAGCATCACGGCAATCTTCATTTACGGTCTTCCACGCAATTCCAGTCCCGATGCCACAGTATGAGAAGGATAAAGCCATTATGTGGAAAACGGAAGCTCCCTACTCGGCAATATCGGAGGACAATATAGAAACTGCAGTGTTAACAGAGTACAACCTGAAACACTGCCTTGGATCTTCACGATATCAGATTTGCCACGAAATGATCCCTACTGAGACAGGACACGGATCATGCCTGTCAACTCTTTTCTTCAAAGGGAATCTGGACAAACTGAAAGTATGCGACACCGAACAGATCCAGTTACCATCCACTGAAAAGGCTGAAAATCTAGGATTTGGGGTATGGTTGATCACATCAGCAACATCTGCATACACCCTCTTCGAGTCTGGTATAGAATCAACAACCGCCAGCGGAATAGAGAAATTCCCGGGATGCCATACATTGTAACACTGGAATGTGGAAAACAGTTAATAGGGCTTAATATAAAAATTCGATCTGATTTAGCAACATGCGAACAGCTCCTAGCAACCAAGATCAACGTCCAATTGCCGGACCCGATCTCAAACTTGCTAAGCGAATTGCCAGAATTGGAGGACATGCCATGTTACGACTCAAAAACGGAAGCGGGAATCGAATTATTCATGGAAGTAAAGAAGAAGCTACTCGAAATCGAGAACAGATGAAAAAAATAGCAGAGCCGCTAGCGCTGAACATGAGAAAACTATGAACTTCGTTAGCAAGAGTATTTGATGATCGACTGACATTGAAAAATTCATTTATAATGAGTATAATTTCCTTCATAGGCTCGATGGTTCTCCGTGCACTTTTCATGTGGATCTACCACAAATGTAAAAAGGAGAGAAGTGACCCCACGCTACTCTTGACACCTCCACTAACACAAGAATCAAATGCCGACTCCAGTGAACCCACAGCTCCATTTCAAGAAGCACTGAATGACGTGATTGATCACGCGAACAGAATAAAGTTAGAGATGACAATGGAACTCAATAACGTGAGAGCTCACGCTTTCACCTCGCAAACATCATACATCAACAGAGATGTTTCTAAGTCACAACCAGGACTTCATTCAATGAATGCAAACATAGTACCACTGAAAGAACACTAGGACGTATATTACACCTTAAGTAAAACACCTTTCAGTAACCTTAAAAGTACCACTTTACAGAATTGCATCACTTTAAAGAAATTTATTACCACAACTTTTAACACATTCTTTATAAAATGTATTTATCCATGTGCCGTATATTTGTAAACCTATCTTATCTGACCAACGGACTGTGTGTGGAACAAGAGAACATCATCAAAAGTGTACCCATGTATTTTCTACAAAAAGCAGAGCGCACAAAATTTCAGAACCCATAGCAATTTTTTCAAGGATGGTAGTGTCACATCCCTAAAATCCAGTTATGGGTGTGAATCATTATTTGACCCAACCAAATTACTTCAAGGCCCTATTTGGTATTTACGACCACGAACTATATTTTCTGTGAGACAACAAGAAGATGTGAACGAGGGGACAAGCAAACATCATTACGAAGAAACAGGAAGTGAACATTTGAACTCAATTAATAAACTCCGAAAAAGGCTTGGCGATGAAAAACAGAGTGGCCAACCTTGCTAATAACTTTGTTAAATAAATTAGATGAGTGTAAATAATAACATATACTCTTGGTTTATAAACTTTGTAAAATCACTCGAGAGATATCCGCGAGAGTGACCAGCTTGACTCGAAATTTAAAGCTCTGCCTAGACTTCTTTCTCTGCTCTTTGAGCTTTCAAGAGGAATACCGCCCTGCGAACTGAACGACATCCGATATATCTCTCGGGCATAGAATTTTCCTCGTCATTTGGAAAGTGACTAAATAACAAACTAAGTAATACTCAAAGAAATCTTCAGGGACCACACATCAATAAATTGAGATACGACAGTTGTAACATAATTATCGACCGAAATCATTACAAGCATACCGAAACGTTTTTCAAAATAGGCAAAAATTTTTTTTGATTAATTTTAACAAAACTGCGTGTATTGAAAAGTTTACATTTGCTTTTGATTTGGAAAATGTATTGAAAGAATTGTTTTTGTGTCAAATGATTTGATAATTTTTGCTATTTTTCCAGCAACTGCGTAATTTTGGTTGTTTCTGAATTTGAAATAAAAACTGATTTAAATTCGAGCCTTTTTTTTCAAAAAGGTTTTCTTGTAGTAGTCGGAACAAAAAATAACAAGACTCCTCGTATCAGGGCGAAGCCCTGAATGTTCCGACTGCTTTTTAAGGTTTATGGAGCAGTAATATAATTAAAAATTTAATGAAATAAAACAAAATGAAAAAAAAATTTTCAAAAATTTGAATTTTTTTTAAATAAAAATCATCACCCCACACGCCATGTAAAGTACAAAAGAATAGATTTCGCTCCTTGTAACAAATCAATTATGGCAAATAAGCTTCTTTCAACCAATTTGGAACAACTTCTAAGACGGATTAACTCTCCTCTTACGCGTTAATAGCGCGAAATATATGCGTTAATTGTCCCAAATTGGTCAAAATGGCAATCTTTAAACCCTCATAACTTTACGAAAAATGATCACAGGTGAAATAGCTTTTCAAATATTAGCTCAGGAAAACAATACCTTTTGAATGATAAAAAAAATTCCGTCAAAAATGGCTAGTTAAAAAGTCGAAATTTGTCTGAAGAAAAAAAAACCCACCCCGAGCACAAATATTCCGTTACTTTCGTTTCGAAAGTCGGAACAATAACCCGCACTCTTTCTAACTGAAACGAAATTTCAGAAGTATTTTTGTTGCTCCGAGGTTCGGAGATAACAACGGAATACGTAAGCTCGGATTGGTTTTTTCATTGCTCACCAATAAATAAAAAGCTAACTTTTTTGTATTGAATGAAGTTTAAACTAATCTGCAACAGTTGTATTTCAGTGAATTACTCGGTAATGAAAATTTACTAAACTGTGCAGGGTCTGGCTAATCTATTTTCGCTTTCTTTTCAGATTGCTTGTCTTGTTCATACGCAGTGATTGAATCCGCGTTTAAAAATAATCCAAGCTGCATCCTTAGCTAATTAATTATTTATCGATCAATTTTTTGATTGGCTGAACTAATTAGTTACTAGACTGTTCAGTTACTTACGATTACAAAGAGTTAAATCCCGTCTCGAATCTAGACGTTTTTTAAGAGGAAAAAATTACTTTTCAATTCGTTTTTTTTTTCATAAACTATTTCACGAAAAATAAAAGGTCATTGAGAGCTTTCAGGGTTTCACCATGAGTGTTGCTGTTTCTAATCCCTTTTAAAATCATTTTCTGGCTCAAGCTTTTTTAAAGCGCCATGATTTCGAAAAATTGTTACATCCAGATTTACTACCAAGTTTTCGATCTATTTTGTTTAGTCTAATGCTCAGTTTTATCGAATAAACAGTTAATGAAACATCGTATCGCAAATTACTTTATATAATAGCCGGCTTAGTTTTTTATGAATAAATTTAAAGTGTTGTTTTTGAAGATTGGCATAAAGCAATGAAACCATTTAATTGAAACATACTTGTGATGTCCATAAACTAAAAGTTTTGGCACGCTTTTCATATGCTTTTTAGCCTAGCGGGTCTTTTAACTTTCTGACACTAAGATGATAATCTCATCCAAGTGTCTGGGCCGTGAAATGGGTAAAGAGGCCATTGTTAATGGTTTGAAGATTACACGCCATTTTTTCTGTATTCATTTTTCTGATTTTCTGAAGCAGTCAACTAGCAGATAATTATTTGGACCGAAAATTCAATATCGCACAAGTTTGATTTATTTTGAAACAATTTTGATTGATAAATCACAAGATTGGTCAATTTATTTTGATATAATTGTGTGTAAAAGATAATTTGGTTTGCTCTGCAATTAAGTATTTCCATGACACATGATTGTATTAAATATGACATTTCAAATATCTTTTGAAAATATTTCCAATTGCAATTTTTGATATTCCAAATTTATCTTCTTTTATTTACCTTCTATATTTCTTAGAAGAATCTAAGATCGAGTACCCTTCAAATAGATTTATGAGGCTTGTTATTTCTATTTCTGCCATAGGTTCTTAGTTAACGATTAGGTGAGAACGGTAGTGGTTTGGGTTTTCTTCCGGCCAGCAACTATAAAAAATATTGTAAACAACGTCACAGTTTGTTTAGCCCATTTCAGGAGAGTGTCTCTTTGAAGACGCCTCCAAAGAGCCCGCCTGTGTAGTAAAGAGACTGAACTTACTTAGGTCGAATGTTCAGTTCGGCGCTTCTGAAGGTTGATTGCTTCTTCTATGTTGCTGGCATGTTTTTAGTTGAACACAGTCGCTTTGTCACAATTCATGCAAAGCTGGATCAATTTTAGGGCTATAATAACCCTGATCTCAGACTGTGAAAATCCTAAATTGTCTGTGTAATTTGCTCTGCAGCACTTACATGGAATTGGTCGGAAGAAATTATATTAAGCGTTATATGGATCAAAATGAGACGCATATCGTAATTTTGAGACTGAGATTTGTAGTCAGATTCTTGTGCCGAAATTTAAGAATTTGGTTCAAATTGAGTTTTTTGTCATCGAAATTACAACAAAAAATGGAATTTTTTTGGCTTACTTGATAGTTAAGTAGGGTTCAATTAATAAGTAGTTTGGTTATTAAACGCAAAGGAAAGGTATTCAATATTTCAATTAACATCTAGGTTTCCAGAAGCAAGTTCGGTCCTTCCATCCATAGCATAATTAGTTTTTCGTCGAGAAAAATTGCGTGACGGTAACTTTTTCCTTTTCTCGTTAAATTTACTTAGACTCGTTGATGCAAGCAATATGATTGTTTTCAGGAGAGATTTCAGAACGGGACCAACGCTGGTGTTGCCGGAGGAGGAGGTGGTGGACTCCTTCAGCATCAGCAGATCAACCAACTGGCAGCCCCCCAGAACAGCGGACACAGTCCCCTCTTCACCTTCCAGTCCCCCCTCAACATCCAGGTAAATGCCATGCATTATATTATATAACTGTTATGTAACATTTTATAACATATGATGTAATTTGTTGCCTCAGTGTTTCCTTTGGTCTTTGGAATTGAAACGCAGCTTCTATCCGAATGAATTATTTTGACACATAATTGATGTTAAGCGTGCGAGCTAAGGCTTTGTTCCGGTCTTAAGTTTTTTTTCAATATATGTTAATTTGTATTGGAGCTTTTTCATAAGAAAAACAAGATGTCATAAGATAATGCAGAAATATTGCTTGCTTTTATTATTTCAATCAGGTTTGTGTCCTGAAAATTGTTTTTGAAATTTTTGTTTATAGGCTTTATAGGCTTAATTTTTGAGACAGAGCCAGATTTTTAAAACACATGAATTTTTATCGCTTGGTAGCAAGTTCCTTGCTTTGTGGGTTTTTTGTACAAAATCATTGAAAAATGGCCGGAACAATCTGTGATTCTTGGAACACAGACTTCAAACAATCCTGATTAGCTAGAAAGTGTCTGTCCTTTCTTGAACCAATCAATGAATGAACCTGGTGTTTTAATTAATTATTGAAGTTTGATATCAGCTGTTTTTATGACATGCTTTTTAGGCGACATTTCCCGTTGAATTTAATTATACGTGTGGCTACCTTGTGTTATCTATTCGCTGCTTTTCATATTTTGTAAACTGGAAATTGTTCTTGAAAATATTAAAACAGGGAACCCATACAAGCAATGAATCAATTTCTCATCTTAATGATCTTAATTTTAGACGAATTTTCAAATTTACAGCCCATCTGCTACTTTTTTTTTGTGAAAAAATCTTAAGTACCCTAAAATAGGCAATCCAAATTTGGCGAAGCAAAAACCCATGAAAAAGAGATCATATCAAATGTATGCAGACCAAAATATCTCTGTTTTGGTTCTAAACTCAATCTTAACCACTAGTGCGAATGAAAAAAGCTCGTTTTTATTCCAATTTTTAAACAAAAATAGCTTTGAATCAATTTTCATTTTAATTGCAAGCTAATGCGTGGGTTAGCGTTGTGTGCTTTACTGTCGTCTTATTAATCCAAAATATTAAAAAAAAACTATTTAGAATTTTTTTTATTTTACTTTGTGAATTAACATCGGAAAAATTTAATTAATGATTAAAACCTGACTAATTTGCCGTAGTTGAACCGGTCTCTGTAACACGTGTCGCTTCTTAAGCTATGCTTCACTCTTGCTTCTTTATTATTCACTCCTTTGTTATTCTTAATCAAATCAGCAGCAGCTCTGCAAGTCCTCCAACAACAATCAAACTTCGCTTCCCCCCAACATCCAAGGCATGAACAACCTGCACCTGGGTTCGTCCCAGCGGGGGTTGGCACTCGCCGGCGGATGCCTTCCGGTGGCACCCGGAAATCCCTTTCACACACCCGGTGCCTCCAACGCATCCCATTTCAATGCACAGTACTTACAGCAACTCTGCAATAACAACAATAACAACGGCAACAATTATGTGCCAAGCGTGTCTCAAAAACGAAAAGCATTTGAGGACTATTCGGCAAACCGAGCCGTCGTCCAACCGTCTCCCGCGATGTTCAACCCTCAAGTCAGGAACTCGGCGATGCTTCAAAACAATAACAACAATCACAGCGGATTTAACTTGCCAACAAACCCGGCAGCTTTGGTATGCTTCGCAGTAGCGCGACATGTTTAATAATAGCGTTGTTTTCAAATGCTTTTCTGCTTCGCTTTTTTGTTTCTTCTAAGCTGTTTTAGTTCTAAGCTGTGTTTGTTGTCATGCTTGTTTGAAATGTTGTTTGTCTTGTGTGCTTCTTGCTTCTCACAGATGCTTACATGCTTTTTGCTTGCTAACTGAATTTTTGAAGTATTAGATGTGCTTATTTTCCAAGGACACCAAGAAAGTTCTTAGTCACTTTGGTTTGGATTTGTTTTGAGAAAGCAGCTAAACTCTTTAGATTATTGGTGTTTCAATCGCACTTGCATAGGACCTGAACAATTTGCTATTCATAAACACCAAAGACACAATTAATGCTCAAGAAATCAGAGTTTTTATCTTAAGATTTCAATCATTTTTGAGGTTCAATATTAATTGAATCTTGTAAATGTCACGTGAATGAAGTATTACCAAAGTTGACTGTAGATAAGACAGCATCAACCAGTTGCAGTGCAAAAGCACAAAATAGCAATGAACGTATTAAAGAAACTTTTATAGATCGTATCATTTTTTATTTGTTTTCAGGAAAGATTATTAAAAGTTGTTCACGCTCAAATTAGATTTTTTTCTGTTCAAAAAATGTTTTTAAAAAGTTCACTTGATGAGATTGAGTTATAAAAATCAACAATAACTGCTTAATTCAAGTTAAACAAGAAAATATCCACCTTGGAGAGCTAAAGGCGACAGGGATGGTTGATATATATCAAGTGATAAATATCATGATAAATATCATGATATATATCATGATATTTTTGACAAAAAAATCCATAAATATCAGCTGTATCATGAAATCAGGTAAATTTGACATGCCTCTTGCCTAATATTCCCATCAAAAGAACCGCGGATTTTCTTTGTTCTCGTTATTCCGCAGAGTGTGAAGGATATAATCATTGGGCTTTTGTCATGCAGCCCTTCTACGGCGTCGCTTGAGCGACTATTCTCAAGTTACGGGTGGATACATAGCGAAATCCGAAATCGTCTTGGAAACGAAAAAGCTGCAAAACTGTTGTTCATATTTAAAGTTTTGAATAATGCTTGAACAACAGAACGTCCAATTCAAGTTCATTTGCAAACTACAGTTTTTAAATAGTTTTCAAGTGTTCCTATAGGCTGAGTATTTGTTCCCCAACTGTTCCCCGAGAATATCAAAAATATCAAAAATATCGTGATATATATCAAAAATATCGGATTGATATGATATTTTTAAAAATATCAGATATCACCCCATCCCTGAAAGGCGACCAGTCAGAAGAAAATATTCTGCGTTTTTCTGACAACGTGAAAATTGTTGTTCCGATAACAAAGTGGGGAGAAATTTTGTAATTGTATGTTTTTTTTTCAACTTTTAAAAAAGTCAATTTAGGTACCACCAGTCATAGTCACGTAGGTATTAATAATATTTAATACCAAAGCGCTTTCAGTCTCGATTTGATCGATATTTAAAGTTTTCTCAGTTTCAAGAAAACCGAGTGGAAAGTTTTACTTTTAAAAGCAATTAGAATTGATGATTCCTTTTTTGTGTTTGATTAATGCTAGTGAAAGCTGCAATGATTTTTTTTTCATTTCTCATTTTTGAAAAAACGTTCTTTTTTATGCTGCTTAAGCAACAACCCATACTCGCTTTAATTTATCTATTCGAAATTCTAATCAAATTTGAAAGGATTTTATATGTTAACTTTTTTGATCCGGTATGGGAACAATTTGAGGTTTTTGAAATCGCTTCAAAAGCTGGAATAGGTTTTTACATGTTTAAAGTTAAAAAATATTTTAACATGTTTAGAAAGTCCTCTAAGTGTTTTAGCTTTTTAGAGACGTCTTTCGCTTTGAATGCTATCATATTTTATCCACATTAAGTTAGGAAAGTACATTGTATGGTAAATAACAGTGCGTTAATTAGACTATACTTTTGGAATGTTTTTTTTTAGTTTTTCTTTCCAACCAACTAAGGTAAAAAAATGATAAAAACGGAACACTGTTTTGCGTTCATAGAAACTGAATTAATGGCGCATTTCAAGAAATTAAATAGACCAAAAATATATATATTTTCGTAAACTCAGCTACAGAAAACGTGTTTTAAAAAGACGCGTATAAAACACAAAGTAATTAAAAATTGATGAAGTGCCAATGAACGTAGTGAAATTACTTATGTAGGTCGTGATGATATTTTTCAGAAAGTCTTTAAGATTGTTCACGTCAAAATTGATCTTTTGTTTTACTTTTGATTGTTTTATTTTCAAATGTCACTTGCCAAAAAGAAGGCAAATTTCGCTCTCCAATCACGAAAGTGTAGTTAGCGCAAAAAACATGAACGGTTTTTAGTTTCGAAAATGGATTGATTGTAATTTTTAGGTTTACCAAATGTAAAAAAAAAACTAACTCATTGATGCAGTTTTCTCAAATTTGGCTAATTTTATCGAAAAAGGTTCAATCAATAATTGTTCCTGAAATTCAAAGAGCTTCAAGGCTATGTATTTATTTTCTTTGAGTTTCAATTATTGAAAAATTTCAAACAACAATTCAGTCATTTTTTTGGTTTCCTTGCGGTCATTGGCTTTTTCCTACTGCCTGTTGGCTATGTTATTGAGATGCATTTTGTATGCCGCATTTCGAATTTCCGTAATCGGAGCGGGCGATTGATAAGACCAGAGCAGCCGTGGTCGAGTGGGTTAGGCACATGTCTCTTATCACTAGGGTCATGCGTTCGAATCCCGCTACGCGATCACGGCTGGAGGGGTCCCAGTGTCATCCGCCTCCTCAAGGTGGGACCGGCTGCGGCTAAATGGATGACATTTCCCCCTCTCACACGGTTGGCCCTGCACTGAGCAGACCGGGGGCTAATAAAAACAATGAAATGACCAGTGCTGATTGCATCCTTGTGACTGTTCTCGTACAATGTTTAGTTTTCTGCTCCATAAACAATAACTTCACTTCGTTCAGGATAAATCTAACAATTTTCCTCTCACTAACTTTTTATAAATATGCTTCAGCTCACATAATTTGCTTTGCATATACCTAGTTCGGCCTCGGTGGCACCTAATCATTAGGGTCGAAGGATCTACAAACCCCAAATTAGGGAAAAGTTTAGCTCAACGATAATTATTCATTTCAGGCAAATTGTGTTCCGGCGGGTGGAAACGGAAACGTGTTCCCGACGTACGGCAAGATGCTTCGACTGGACTCGAACGGGATGAACGGAGCGACTAAACTGACAAGTCCGGCTGCGAACCAGGCAGCTGTTAACGTGAGCCAGATGAGTCAAGCGGCGGCGGCTGCTGCTCTTGGGGTGGGTGCTTACAGTCCTTATGGCAATTCCCAAGCGTCTCCGCAGGCCTTTTTCTACAATCCACTATATCAGGCACAACTGCTGGCAGCTTCAAATCAGACCCAGCCTTCCCTGATTCCCGTGACTAGTCCCGCATGTGAGTAAAACGCGCACAATTGTTGACCCAATTATTTCGAACATCATCTAATCGACGGTGCTAGGTAAATGATGCGACAGGAAATTGAGGCGACAAGACATCAAAACGATTAAAAGAATAATGCGTGTCCAGTCCTCTGATTGGTCTCATTGTTTCTCAAAATTTAAGCATGCAAGCCTTACAACAAAAACGATAAAAGTAATTGCTTGTTCCTATTTAGTCCTAATTATTTGTCGTCTCTAATTCCCCGTGGAATCAATTTTCGTCTCAACACCTGTCGTCTCATTTGCCGACCATCGTAGCGATGATTGTTGAGGGGTATTGGATCGTCTCCGTCCTCAGGATACGGAATTCAATGTGAAACTATTCTTGGCCGACATCACCTAAAATTGTATGGCAACGGTCGCAGTAGTTCAAGCAGTAGCGGACGGGTCGGCGGGGGGGGGGGAGGGGGTGCTCATGTTCTTTTAGCTAAGTTGAACTGGTGCGATATTTAGTTTTAATGAACTGACTCCTCCTCGAGTTACTGTTATGTCATTGCTTAAAGCAGCAGTTATGTTACACTGTAGTTGCAAAAATACAAAGAACTCTTCGTTTCGAGTCTGTTTTTGTATTTCAGTCCTGGCCAATCCCGGAGCTGGAATGATAAATGGTGCTCACTCGCCCGCGCTCTATGCCAGTCCCATACACAACGGACGATTCGCCGCATTCGGATGAGGCCGAACCCGAATTCGAGTGCAACCAACCCTTCGCCATCTATATCAACACGAAAAACACCAGGTCCTTTTTCCGATATTGTTAACTCCCCTCCCCTCTATTGCAAAAGGAGGAATTTCGTTATACGGTACCAAATTCGTAAATCCTTAATCGTTCATCTCAGTTTTCAAACTTACTTTGATAGATAGTTGCAAAAAATTTGTGGCCAGATGAAATTAAAACAAATTAGAGCAGAACTGTTATGTTTACGAAACTTTCTGACTAAGTTAATTTGAAAACGATCTTGCTATCGACGAAAAATATGTTTTTTCATCAAAGCTTTTAAATCACAATTTTTCCTTAAAGCTTAATAAATCGCTGTTGGAAGCAAATGACAAGATTATACTTTTACACTGATTTTACTTCAATGCTGACAAAAACTAGTATTGAAACTTAGATTGGTTTTTCTTTTGTAGATGACAATTGACCAAGTGGTATGAGGAGGCAAACTTAAGAATCAAAAGAACAAAAGAGTTTGTTCTCAAAGCAAGCTAAAGCACCACGAAAGAAGAACCACACTATTGGCCAATCAGAGTTGACTCCAGAAAACATGTACACGTATAAATTGTCACCATCTGTGGAATCATTTGAATGCCTGGGAAAAATCAGGAAAAGTGCACAAATGTGAAACAATTTTGTTAAAAACTGGATATATCTTTCAATCGAAACTATTTTGAGGTGCTACTCTTAATCTTTCATTTCGTATCTTAATTCAGCCCCAATATTTTTCAAGCTTGAAATCTTATAAAAATATCCCACATTTTTCAAGGGTAAATATCCGATAAACGCGTGAATAGTTTTTGTAAACTTTAAATTTGATTCCAAAAACATGTCCTGTAAACTTTTTGGCTGAACCGAAAAAAATCAAAAGGGATTTACTTTGATTTTAGTTTTTATTGCACTTAATAATCGTTTTCCAAGCATGATATAAAAGCACAATGAGTTATATAAACAGGCTTGAAAAGTCTTTACCTTGAAAGCGAAGGGGAATGCAACAAAATGTATTGCTATTTTTTGTTTTCTTGAATCGAGTTTTCTAATATTTGTAGTTGAAATAGTTAGTTTTGGCCACTAAAACCGTTTTACTCCATCATTAACTAATGTTGGGCTGGGAATGCGAAAGGATTAATACGATAAAATTAACAGTGCTAGTTGTCTAGACCTAACTCTATTAAATTGGTGATAACAATCATTTTAAATTCGAGTTGCAGAGGATCCGAAAAGGAGTGACGATGATTTTTCAAGAGTTGACTAAATACGTAATTGGTGCTTGTCCTTAGATTACTTTCAACCTTAATAGTGTACAATATTGATTTAATATTAAATAATTCGTCATGTAAAGTCATTTTACGACTATCTTACCAAGTGTTGTCCGGAAGTTATTATGTGAACTGAAGAACTATTTTCTCGTCTCTATGGTGAACATTCAACAGTTGATCTTTATCGTTTTTGTAGTTAACCCTAGTTCATAAATTAACGATTCGTATTGTATTATTTTTATAATTGTTTGTGACTTATTTACATTAATTACTTTGTGTTGATATCGAAGGTAGTTATTTGTTGACAGGTTCATTTTCATGTCGCCTTGTTAGTACTACATTTGTCATCTGAAATTTTCATCTAAAATCATTTTGTGATTGTCATTTGCTAGGTTCGCAATCTAAAACGTACCAAATGTTAGAAAAGTTTCGATTCTGACTAAAATATTACATTTTTGTAACTTTTTTTACATCATTCAAATCAATTTTTTTTTGAAAAAAAATCAATAACTCAAAATACAAAATGATTGAGGAAACAACTCAAAGCTGCTGTATAAAATTTAAGTGGTGCGTTTGTGATTAACCTAGTTTCCATGTTGCAGGGCAACTTCTTATTATTGTCATCCTAGTTTATAAGAGTTTTGCATTGTTCGTTTGAAAAGCTGGAAAGAACCTTGAGAAATCAAAACGTGCTCATTTATCATTTAATATTAAATTATTTTTGAAATTTTCTTGGTGAAAAGTTTTGTAGCTATATTTTTTGACCATCTTTGACATTAATCTCAGACTATTTGAATTTATCATTTTTCTCTATTTGTTTTTGAGGCCAAAAGTGGCAAAAGTCCTAGTTTCCGATTTCGACTGTCTGTTTGAGAGTTTAAAAAAAGTTATTTGAAGTTGGCTCACAATGTCACTAACATGTTAGCCATTGGTGATCTTGTTAACTATTTCCCCCCTTTTGGACCTTGTTAACTATTCCCCCCACCCCCATGCATGTATTATTTTTGACAACCATGTCTGTATAAATATGCATTTCAAAAATGCCAGAATATAATTGAGTTTTTTTATTTTTGCGCGTTTGTATTTGTATTACTCACTATTTATATGATTTAATTTAATTAATTTTTTTTTAAATTAAAAACTATTTTAAGCTATTGAAAATATGGCAGACAAAGTTGAATTTTCTGAAAATCGAAATGGGGGGTGGGGGAATAGTTAACAAGAGCCCCCATTGGATATCGTTGCCTTGATTTTTATGAATATTGGAGCAACCATATTCCGACCACAATTATTGTCGTGGATATATTAGATGCTTTTGTTGGACGATTAAAATATATTTATTAATGCTGGCCAGAACATTCGTGTAAATTTAATTAATATGAAAAGACTAAAATTTTGGCAGCTGGACTGAATGAAAACAGTGTTTTTCAGAAATCTCTCGAATACACGCAGTTTTTTCAGTTTATGGCTGTAACTAATATTTTCCCGGGTGTTCGAAACGTTACATTTATTGATCGTCATTGAAACATGATTGGCACCTGTGTAACAGGATTCGGTGATATGCTCTTTTCACAGCTGTTGAAGAGTATTTATGAGGAATAATCAGGTTCATAGAAATTTCCACAATGGTATCTCCATGAGCAAAATCTATTCAACTACTTTATTAATTAAGATCATGTAGACAGTACTCAAAAAGACTGCAAAAATTATAAAAACCTGAGAACCAACGGAACGCAAAACTCATCCAACAAACGAGTCCTAAGAATCATTGGTAACTTTTAACGCTTCAAGAATGATAACTTAAATCTAATTGTAAAAATGTATTATACAAAATACGAACCTTATTTTCGTTTTTCATTTTTGCTCTTCAAATAAACTTGCTTTTTGGTTGTAAAATCAATAACTATGTTGATAGTATCTGATATCTCCTGTTCACTTATTTATTCGTGAAGTTTTTACTGTGCTGATTTAAATTATCCGGACAAAACGAACAAAACTTGAATTTTCAAACGCGTTTTTCTCAAATTGGGTTAAGAATAGACAAAAAGTAAAGAGAACAAAAGTTGCTTAGAATTTCACTAGAATTAATATGGTGCCATTTTTTCACCGAAATTCTCAACAAAAATTTTACCCCAAAAATGAGTCATTTTGGCTTTTTTCAATTAATCAAGAATTACGCGGAAACTACTTTGTTAATTGATGAGAAAATTATATCACAGGAAGCCTTTTACGCAGCTCAACAAAGTTTAACAAGGGTGAAATCTCCAAAAATTTGCGCAAATTGTTTAAAATTTATTTTTAAACAGAGATTCTGGGTTTTCATAGTAAAAATCACATTTATTTACTATCAAGTGATAATTCTTTCTCTTATACTGGTTTTTGGAGATTTAACCCTTCTTAAACTTTGTTGAACTGCGTGAGAGGCTTCCTGTGATATAATTTTCTCATCAATTAACAAAGTAGTTTCCGCGTAATTCTTGATTAATTGAAAAAAGCCAAAACGACCCATTTTTGGGGTAAAATTTTTGTTGAGAATTTCGGAGAAAAAATGGCACCATATTAATTCTGGTGAAATTTTAAGCAACATTTGTTTTATACGTTATATGTTTAAGCAATATATGTTTTGTGCATTGGTATGCTTCCAATTATAATTGGGATTAATTTGGATTCGGGTGTTTTTTCATCGAAAATTGGGCATTGCTAAGAATTCAGAAAGATCAATGTTTTCACAAAAACCGTATGTCACCCATCGGTAAAAAAACCATCGCTGAAACAAATGAAAGCTTTGCAGTTACAAATAAAAAAGAATGGACAACTTAAACTTAACAAAATTTGATAAATTTTTCTAGTTCAGCTCTCAAAGGTTTCATTTTGATAATTTTGATTGACAATATGCTAATTGAATATGCTAGCGTCCATTTGGAATTTGACAAAATGCAATATGCTAGCGTCTGTTCTAAATGAGAAACATCAAGAGCTATATCAAGAGTCATAGAGCTATATTACTTGCACGATAATTATATTCTTGCCACAAACTATGCTTAAATTGAGTTGAGTCCGACTATGTCAACGAGTCAACTTTAATTTGTCTACATTAGATTTCCTGTAGAAAGTTGTATTATGAAAAAAATGCTAAAAAATAAACTGAACATGACCCTTTTTTAAACGAGAGAACTTTCGGACAACAAGAACGCGTCATTTTAGATTAAAGTGAAACTAATTTAAGATTGAGTTTTTCTAGACCTTTTCTCAGCGTTTTGGCAATCAAAGCAAACGACCATTTTTCCTCAATTTCGATAAACTTTTTTAGCAGACATCTAGCTTTGAGTTTTATTCCGAATTGAGCGATTCATTCTAAGAGGAAAAAACTCAAGATTTCGAGTTCGATGACGTAAATCGGAAAACACATCTGACCAGCAAAAAATGGATCCGACTTAGACTCTGTTATAACTTCCCATTAATTAAAATGGAATTTATGCAGAAGGACTTTCGACGCGATAACCAGACCGGTTGTTGTTGTGAAATGTTTTATGACATTCTAACTTTTTCAAATCGTACTTCCCTATAGTATCCTTAGATTATAAAATACTTATTGCCATTCTATCACATAATTCAAGCAATTGAAACTTACCCTATCCAACTCCAGAATTCCAAAAAAAAAGTTTTTTGTCTGAACAGATTAAAGAATCATAAAATTTAATCAAACTATCATTGCTGCAGGTCAGCAAAAAGTCAATACCATTTAAAATGTACCAGTTGAGTTTTAAAATGATTTCAAAACATGAACAAACAGAAAATTCAATCTTGTTTTTATCATAGAATTGTGCTGCGGTTATTTTTTAAACGAGGAATATCCATGAAGTGCCAAGTTTTTTTTAGCTTGCTAGATAATCCAAGTGCTTTGATATGCAAAGTTCAAAAGATCGATTCACTGCAAGAGATGAAATAAAAGGCTTAACTCAAACACGAAAAACGAATTTGAGTAGATTGGTAAATAAACCAGGTAGTATAGACCAATAGTAACAAGCCAAGGCGGCACTGGGGTCCAAATGAGATAGAAGGAAAAGTCTTTGATATTGGCCTCTTCCACAACCCAAAATCTCAGTCCTTCGCAACAACCGGAACGGCAAAAATTTACACTGCTATTATTGACTGAAATTTGCTGAACTTTAAAGTCCTGTTGTTTTTTCTGCACGAAACGACTTGCATCTGTACAACCAGGAAGTATCTGCGTGTGCCAGTATCGAGAGGAAACTGTATTGTTATCTCGGTTTTTACAGTTTTTGCTTGTTTGGGACCCCCAATTGGAACACTTCAAGTGACCTCTTCCATATTTTGTTTCTGTTTCTTCATGACCATCGATTACAAGTGCCTTCCGGTAGACCTCAAGGACTTTGAATTGGTTGTTGATTGTTAGTCCAACGAAATACGATATAATGACTGAGCTTTTTTTTGTTCTTTCTACATGATTTTGAAAATTGTGGGTTAAAAAAACCTGTTAATAGTGTAAGCATCCGCATTTCAGGCTCAAATTGCGAATGAATCTTTTGAACAACTTGCTTCAATGAAAGACTTAATTTTAGTCCAAAAGTTTGGATTTAAATGAACTAACACCTGCTGTTTTAATGCTGATTCCAATTAACTTATTAGGATAAATTATGAATATTATGGCAAATTGGCATGGGATAGATCGGCATAGCGTATATCGGCATGGGGTAAATTGCTATGTAGGGTAAAATGGCATAAGACAAATTGGAATAGGGTGTATTCACCGCTACGTTATCAAAATTAGCCAAAAGGGTAGGCGAATCAAAACTCAAGGTAGCTGAATCAAAACTACTACTGTTAATTACTCTTTCTAAACAGAGGGAAAACAATTTAAAATGAACTTTTAGCTAAAATTCAAATCAACATTTAAATAAAAAATGGAGCCCCTCGAATTCACTCGTGCGCTCTGTATTCACTTTTACTGCTGGAGAACATTTCAATTTAGTTTCAACAAACTAAATTGAGATCAGTTCTGTGATCGATCAACATTCCTGAAAAAACCAATCAATCAAAATCAACAAAAAATCACTTCGTGCATTAAAACATAAAGTCTCCACCGATATGATTGATATTCCGAGTTCTAAAAAATGTAAACTAAATGATATTTTACTTTCATATGAAGCAAAATCTGCGAAAAAAGCCAAGGATAGCCGGTTACTGTGCAAATAGCACAGAATGATCCGACAATAGTCTGTATCGAACTACAAAAAAAAGTTTTCATTTCAAATTAGTGTAGTTTTTCTGCGTGGTATGATACAAGGATCTGACGTAAAACTATAATACAGACAAATTCGACAATCATGGTAATGTAGGCAAACAAGACAAGAAGAACAATAGGGAAGAAAAATGACAAAAAAAATCATAAACAATTTTTTAAA